ATGCTCGAAGAGCCAGGAGGATTGCGAAGGGGCAATCCGGTACAAATTCTCAATCTTCCTCGAGGTGGAAGATACCGAAGCTGGAGCCGCCCAGGATTGTTCGGCGATGTCCTGCAGGGACGGAAGAAAACCGAGGGCTGGAGGAGTCAGTACTCTACCATGGACTCTCTTGTCCACGGCGTCCTTAGGTTGAGCCTCCGATCGCACCAGCTCGAGATCGAGGGCTTCAGCCATCCGCACCATCTGTTCCGTGAAGAACCTTACATCGTCGGTCGGCGAAGATGGATGATGTTCTACCAGCACAACACAACTCTGAGGTGGGGAAGGCGATGGCGAGGCCGAGGATGCGATGGAGAGTACCGAAGGAGACCGGGACGAGGATGAGCGGGACCGAGAGGCATCACGACGGGACCGATGATGCCTTTGGCGAGAACGCCTAGGAGGCGATGGAGAACGGGACCGAACCAGCCTCCTGTCTGGGGAGCGATGCCTTGGGCGTTCGACTGGAGATCGAGGAGGTGAAGGCGAGGGCTCCCTGAGCTGATGACGCCTCGGAGCAGATGGCCGAGAGAGGTTCTTAGGATCGACCAGCTGGAGAAAGTGGCCCGTGAGGGAGTCAAAGACCAGGTCAGGATTCTCTTTGAGAATGCGCTCCGTCTCCGGGTCAAGAGGCGGCTCGTCAGCCTCGGTCCCCAGTATGGCAGTGTCCCTAGGTGGCATAGGGGTCTGCTCGGTCTCCAGTAGCGGTATCTCCTGCTGAATCTCACACTCCGAGCCCGAGTCGGAAATGACAGCCCGAACCGAAGGGGAGACAGCCTGTAGCAGTGGTGGGCTAGAGAGCCCCGAAGGACCCGGGACCGGCGAAGCGGATCTAGACCTGGTTTGAGCGGCCGATTCCACTTCAGCCTCGGGTCGATGCTTGGGTTTATCTGGCCGGACCCGCGATTTTTTAACAGCCGGCTCCTTGGACTTGGTCGCCTCCTTCTCCACAGAATGGTGCCTTTTTGAGGCCTTTTGAAGCGGCTCAGGAGAGCGAGCGCGCTCAGACGAAGCCTTCTTCGAAGTTTTCTTGGGGAGCGACGCCGAATCTACGGCCGGCTTTTTCGTGGCCGATTTGGAAGCCAAATCAGAAGTCGGTGCATCCCCAGCAGGAGATTCCCTTGGAGGAGGGCGGAGCGCCTCTTCATAAAGAGCGGCCTTTAGCCGCTTGTCTCGGTTCCTCAATGCCTGCGAGGTCATGGACCTACAATCCAGGCATGCCTTCGGGTTATGAGTCTGGCCCAGACACAATAAGCATAAAGAGTGAGGGTCCGAACTTGGAATCTTGTTATTACATTTCGGACACTGTTTGAAGGATCTGGATGCCATCCTATCACCAAACACAGA